TATATTTACCATTTATATTACAGTATATGACAGTAATGAGAACTGGTCTGAGCACTGACTTGAAGACGGCGATCAGCAGGTTGACCAGCAGGATGTTGGCGACCAGCAGGTAACAGGCCATGATGGCGGGAGTGAGCCAGGCTCCAGGGATACAGGGAGGAAGCTTCTTCCCGTCTTCATCGTACAAATTGTCTCCACACGGAGCTGAGACACAGACAGCATAATTTATGTCCAGTCTACATATCTGTCTGTCTGTCAGTCTTTTCACATTCAGTAATTGATTCTCTCTACTATACAACTATATTATAGTACTTCCTATTCATAGTGGCAGAGTCCGCCATTCCCACTTTTGACTCACAAGGTAATGTTATCCATTTTTGCTGCTTACCAATAAAACATTCGAACAGGACAGAGTGAAGGTGATTTTTATTGTGAAGGTGTCAGGAGACTTCCTGTCTGCATCAACAACGACAAATAAATGTTTTCATTATGTCTGAGATACTTACGATTGATTTCCATCGCATAAACTGTGGAGGGTAAGAGAGAGAGACAGTAATCAATAACCAATAATACAAATTAAGAGAAGACAGAGGACAGAGGGTGAGGACAGAGGGTGAGGACAGAGGATGAGGACAGTGGACAGTGGACAGTGGACAGAGGCTGAGGACAGGACAGTGGGTGAGGACGGAGGACAGAGGGTGAGGACAGTGGGTGAGGACAGTGGACAGTGGGTGAGGACAGTGGGTGAGGACGGAGGACAAAGGGTGAGGACAGAGGGTGAGGACAGTGGACAGAGGGTGAAGACGGTGGACAAAGGGTGAGGACAGAGGGTGAGGACAGTGGGTGAGGACAGAGGACAGAGGGTGAGGACAGAGAACAGAGGACAGAGGACAAAGGGTGAGGACAGTGGACAGAGGTTGAGGACAGAGAACAGAGGGTGAGGACAGTGGACAGAGGGAGAGGACATAGGATGAGGACAGAGGGTGAGAACAGAGGGTGAGGACAGTGGACAGAGGTTGAGGACAGAGGAGAGAGGGTGAGGACAGTGGGCAGTGGGTGAGGACAGAGGACAGAGGGTGAGGACGGAGGACAATGGGTGAGGACATAGGGTGAGGACAGTGGACAGTGGGTTAGGACAGAGGACAGAGGGTGAGGACAGAGCACAGAGGGTGAGGACAGTGGGTGAGGACAGAGGGTGAGGACGAAAGACAAAAGGTGAGGACAGATGGTGAGGACAGTGGACAGAGGGTGAGGACAGAGGACAGTGGGTGAGGACAGAGGTTGATGACAGAGAACAAAAGGTGAGGAAAGAGGACAGAGGGTGAGGAAAGAGGACAGAGGGTGAGGACAGTGGACAGAGGGTGAGGACTAACGGCTGTGTCTTACTATGAACTCTAGTCTTACGGTCTATGGAGTCTGCAAACACCTCTCCGTAGATCATCCAGTACGGCATGTAGAAGATATTTCTGGCGAGCCGCCATGTTGGCTCCTCGTCCGGGTGGAGGATGGCCTGCCGAGCAACGCCGAAACTCATCAACACCACCAGCATGATGACCACGAAGTACAGCATGTCAATCATCTGAAGACAGATTATTGATTATTAATGTACATTTCTACAACAACAACAGACACATTGATCAGAGGATCTCGAATCTTGAATTGTTTTATTTTTCCTCTCTTGGTAACATTTTGTGAACATTGTGTTTCCCTGAACAATAAAGTTATGTTGTGTTCCAACCAAAGGTGAAGCAAATAATCGCCTCACATTACTCACGCTCGTTTACCTGCAGGAGCAGCGAGTACAAAAATGTCCCATAATATTATATAACAATATAACTGTTGTTAATATTACATGAATCAGATGCACAGTATTGCCCTGTATCTACAGCACAGACCTATGAGCGCTAACAAGGTGAATACTTGCCCTTTAATCTGACTTACAACAGCAGTCAAAATGATCCTGAAATAATGACATCATGCTGGCGAACAACTTTTAAAATGTTTGTTTTTCTAATTGAGTTTGGTTGATCAGGGTTATGCTTAGTTATGAACTTAGTTCGTAGTAATGTTGGTGGGAACGCAGCATTACATTGAACTGTGTCTGTGATGTCATCCCGTGATGAGGTCGTACCATTTTACCGATCATCATGACATAGGGTCCCAGGTACTTGTTGACGCCGAAGATGTCGAGGACCCGAATGTACCAGAAGATGATGTCAACGCAGTAAATGACGCGTCCGTAGCCCATGGAGGGTTCATTCTGCAGTCGCAGCAGCAGACCCAGCAGGAAGACTGAGATGGCCACCAGGTCTGTGATGTTCCAGTAATCCTCCAACCACACGTTGATCTTCTGCTTCAGTTTGCCCGGCTCAGACATCAGGATCTGACAACAGAGGGGTCAAAGTTCAACTCTCTACCTGAGTATTTGGTCTCTGAATGTTAAACATTTAAGGAGGTGAAGTCAGAACTCCTCCTCTGCTGCTCCAGGTCCTTTCAGGTAATAAATTGAACAGCTGTCTGTGGATCTTCAGGTGTGTCTCAGGGTTTACCTGTCGGACTTTCTCAAGTCCCAGAGTGATGATGTAAGAGATGACGATCCACTCCTGCAGAGACGGCCATCGCTCCATCTTCACCAGGATGATGTAGTTATACAACATCAGGTACACCAGGTAAGAGATCTACACACAAAAATACACGTCACATTCAGGTTACATGGTAACACTGTGTCTGTTTTACCCTGTTACTGTCTGTACTGTGTATCACATTCATATAATAGTAACGTTTTAACGAAGACCAATAATTGTTTATAACAGACACATAATTCAAATTTAAAGCCTATTAGTGTCAATGCCATTAATAAAACACTGCCATGTCCCAGTATTCAGTTACGACTGATGGGTGGGTGGTATCACAAAACGTCTTGCTGGGACCCTTTCAGTGTCTGTACACAGTGGTAGCAGCAGCAGAGGCAGCAATCACACATTTTCTTGAGGAAAGATTTTAGTTATTATTATTATTATAATTGTTACTTTAATTATTAATATTGTTATTATTATTAGACTACTCTATATGCATGAATAAAACATTAGTTACCTGATGTAACTTCAGTATCTGAATAAAAATATTCATATGTAAGAATACTATAACGCAGTTGATATATCACAGTATATCATTTTAAAACTTGCCGTGTTGAACCAGAACTTTGTGAAGGGGGCGTTGTAGAACTCGTAGATCTTCCTCCCGATGGGAGTCCTCCTTTTGTGTTTCTTCTGCTCTTCTTCTTCGTCTCCTTTCTTTGACATAGCGTCGATGTTGGAGACGGCATCCTAAAACCCACTCTTTGTCACTCAAACTGGAGTGAACTCAGAAACTGTGATCAACATTGTTTGTTTCTACCTTGCTGGATTTGTTGTCGTCCTCTTTAGTTTTTCCGTCCTCGTTCTCTTTGGATGAATGATACGAACCCTCGTCTCCGAGACGAAACTCCAAGAGAAGAATCGCAGGAGGGAAGATGATCCCTAAAATCACCTGGAGATGGGACATTTCATTAATAAACTTAATATAAATACAATAAAAACGTTTTATTTCAATGCCTGAAGGGTCGAGTCTAGCTCCTCAGTACCCTGAGGCTGTTGCTCTTGCCCATCCTCAGGCAGCCCATCCACATGTCGGTGAGCAGCATCTGACTGCAGGTGTGTGCTATGAAGTCTCTGTGTTTGGCAGCGACTGCCAGCTTCAGACAGGTGGAGTTGCTCCAGTTCTTCAACTCATACGTAAGCAGCTTCATGGCCACCTGCTCGTCGTGTTTGTACGACTGATCCAGCAGCTCGTAGGCCAGCTGACCAAACTCCCTGCACAGAAAGCACACTCAGTCTAAGGAGCGCCCCCCTCAGGCTCTTTACTGCACAGCAGAAACCAGAAACTCTGTTAATGTGTTCTATCCACTGCATATAAAACTGAGACACGTTTAGTCTAAACACTGTCAGCATAGGTCAGTGCTGTAGACACAGGGCAGAGGTCCGTGCTGTAGGTACAGGGCAGAGATTAGTGCTGTAGACACAGGGCAGAGGGAAGGGAAGAAGTACTCTCATCATTTACTGTATTAAAATATTAACATCAAAATATACTTTAAAGTACCAAAAGTAAAAGGAATCATTATGCAGAATATGTGTATCTGAATGGATTATAATTATTGATCACTAAATATCACTGATCTTGGAGCCGGATAACGTTATTAAGCGTGGCGCCAACATTAGTGACGCTGTCTGGCTAACCTTTGCTTTCCTGTGGGTATTTGTTAGTTGGCGAACATTAACTAACAACATTATCCAGATTGACCCTGGTGATTTCAGATGTGTCGTGGACTCACTTGGAGTTGTTCTCTAGGTCCTGGTAGATGTCGTCCACCAGCTCGCTCTGGGATGACTCGTGGGCCATTGCTTTGTAGAGTTTACAGGCCACCAGAGCTTTGGCCATGGCCTCCTCCCCCCGCTGCCACAGGAAGAGCGCCATCTTCTGGCGCTTCATCAGCACGGCCCACACCATCAACTCGTGGAAGGGGTACTGAAACCTGCTGACCTCTGGGTCGTCCACATCGATGTCCACCTCCTCCTCTTTTTTCTTGTTCTTCTTCCCTTTCCCCTTCGGACGGGGCTCGTCATCCTGCGGGAACCACATCAGTCCACATCAGAATCTAAATCCACCATCAACACTGATCATTTTCAGAAAGTCAAAAGTCACAAACCTCCATTCCAAGAAGCTTCAGAGCTTTAGGCTGTAAGAGAGAACAGTTCATTATTCTACATTAATATTAGACACAGAACCACAATTAAGATTTGAACTAATTCTCCAGCTCCAGGATCCTTAAAGGTTATTTTTTTATATAAACATCAACAGTCACATGGTGTCTCACTCCCTCTGCCTGTATTGTATCGCAGCCTCTCGTGGTTTGTTTCTATGCCACGGTCTGCTCCCCCCACCCCTGAAACTGCTGTTTTTATCATCTACATGCTAACATGTTGGAACTCCCCAGCATAGAGCGTTTTAATGATTTGATTGGCTGTTTGCTGTCGCCCTTTGAAGAAGTTCGACGGATTGAGGCTGAAGGTTATTAGTGTTAGTCGTTTTGTCTCGGAGTGCTGGGTTGGAAGAGGTCCGATAGCTGATATTATAGGGCTGTTTGTAGTTAAACTAAGGTCTATCTCCCCCTGTAGGATCGCTTTGCCATAATGTTCAACCCACTGATATAACAGACCTGATGCTGTCAGTGGCAGAAACAACAACCTGTAGTTTGTCCCTAAAGATAAAGGTTAGCTTATGCTGTGGCTATTACGGCCCCTTTCACAAATATTTTCATATCTGACTCGGTGAGTTAGTTGGTGATTGAGACCAACAAAAATTACTGGTTTTATGAATGGAG